CTCACCTTTTTCCCCACTCGTTGCCTGCAGCCTCGCTTGCTCAGCAGACACATTGGAGCCTCATGCACAGGAAGGAGTAGCGTGTGCCACCATCTCGTGCCCAGATGGAAATGGAACAAGTCCGTTCTGCCATCGGAAACCTTACTCGTGAGCTTCTACTCAGTTGAAAAAAAGAAAAAAAACCAAAAGAAATGCATTACCGCCTGTTTCTGAATGCTGAAAAAGGGCAAGGCACTGGTCCAGCTCTGAGATACCCCTCGATGCAACATTTAGTACCTGGGGACATCTTCCCTTGCCTCCTCCCATCCCCCACGGCAGCGCCCTGCTTGGTGCCAGTCAGCCCTGCCTGAAACCTCCAGGCAGGGTGCAGAGAGCATCCCCTCCTCGCCGCCATGGTTTGCACCCTGCCAGGCAGGGTTACGTCTGGGCGGGCGCCCATGGCTCGCCTCCTCCCTGCCGCCTTCGTTTGCTGGATGGTGTTTATGAGAGATGCTGCGCTGTCTGCTCCTATTTTATGTGCTGCCAGAGCTTGTCAATGTGCTGTTTGGTACATCAACAAATCGACACTACACAAACAGAGAGCTAACAGGGAATGATTTATCCAGGACACCACGTCTGTGTGTCCAGCAACACGAGGTGTCCTGGAAACAAAATTCAGTATTTACCGAAGACTCATCGGACGAGCTGGTGTTTCGTGCATCGGAATAGCTGGTGTTTCGTGCCACAGCTGAATTGCACTTATATCTCGCTCTTTCTGGGTGTTGTGGTGTTGCTTGTTTAATCATAGGATTCTTTCCTTTTAATTAGTCACTGCTGCTGATGATGAGAGAATTAGAAGACTCTTCTCTTAATGGAGAAGCTCAGGCTGTGGCAAATGTTCTGTAATTGGGGTGGTGGGCAGGAGGCTTTGTGCTGCAAAGAGACCCCAGGGTCTGTACCTTGGGCTCTGCTTCCCGGCAAAATGGCCTTTCCAGGAGGGGGTCCTGAAGGCGTGTGTTTTCCAAATATATCATTTACTCAAAGGAAGGATGCTACCTCCCCCGGCTGCCGTGTTGTGGCCCTTGGAGGGGAAAGCTGCTTGATTTTACCGGCTCTTTTCCTCCATGCCTGGCGAGGACCCGTTGAGCTGGTTGTGTGCCAGGAGTTGGTGACTGTCCCAGGTACATTATGTCTAGAGCTGGTCAATATTGTTTTGATTAGACAGTTATTGTCAGAAAATGGCAGTTTATCAAACTTGAAGCTGTTTGTGGGAGGGGAGTGGTTTCAGTGAACTGGCTTAAAAAAAAAAAATTATTGAGATACATTGTCTGAGATATTTGAAACGTCCATTTGAACAGTTGGGGAACAAGAAGTTCCATGTTCTTCTTCAAGCTGACTTTTATTTATGTTTTTTATATTTCAGTTGATTTACGGTACAGAGCAAATGGATAAGGGAATAGGGACTAAAATGGAGAGGAGAGCTTTCAAAATTTTGGGCACAAAGTGTGTCAGTTTGCCAATTCTGAAACTCTGCATTCCTGTTTGGGACGGGATTACAATTTCAGTTCCCACGGGAGAGAAAAGCCACTTTCCTGTTGTATTGTAATGATGTCTAAGAAAAGATGTCTCAGACATGTTTGTGATTTCTGTAGAGCAGAAGCATCTTATAAACAGTCTTATCATCTATACACATCTATGGCTGCATGGAAATCCTGTAGCTGGCATTCTCAGAAGTGTTTGAATCCCCACTGCCTGGCTGTGATCCCCTTGGGCAGGATCATGATCTCAGCCCACCTCTATTTTTACAAATAATTCCTGGCGGTGCTCGTGGCACGGGTCTGGGCAGGTGCCCCATGGACTGGCTGCAGCGATGTGTCCCTTGAAAGGGATGCGGAGCTGTTCCAGGGGGACCCCCCGAGTGGGAGCGAGGGGCTTGGGGGAGGGTGCTCCACAGCCGGCTGCAAAAATCCTCCGAGCAATTCGCATTGCCCCATCTCAACTATTTAGGGGATGTGTTGTTTCCCGAAGCAAAATAACACCTCGATTTCAGCCGGGTCTGGTTGCAGTGTGCTTCCAGTAGATGCTCGCCTCGCCCTCCCGTGGCAGAGCTCCAGGCTGCCCTGGAGACCCTCCTCTTCTCCTGGCTGGGTGAAAGGAAGTTTTCCCTTCCTCTTTGAACCCATTTTGGCCATTAATCTTAGATTTTTGGATATTAATTCTCACCTCTGGTTCAGGAGATCCCACTCTTCATTTTTATTATGGGCGCCCAATGTCTCAGATATTAAAAGCCATTTCCTGCAAGGGAAGTGGAAAAGAGTGTGTGGAGGAGGAGTGGGGGGCCAGGCGGCCTTTTTGAGGTGAAGCATGGATGGATCCAGCGCTGCTGCAGGTGCTGAGCATCACCACGCTGCATGGGCTGATGCATAGCCCTCCTGTGCTGGTGACAGGGGTATTTGGGACTCTCATGAGCCGGGTGGGCTGGGAGGGATGTTTCATGGGCTGGGGGGATCACAGCCCTTCCAGTGGGTGCTGGGGGTCCTGGGAGAGTTGCAGCATAAGCACTGCTCCTCCCCTGCCGTGGCTCCCCACGTCACCCAGCTGTGCCCTGCCAGTGCCTCCCATCCAGATTTATACATCCCAATAACATCTCCAACCAGAAGGTGCTCGTGAAGTTTCATTAACCCACGCTATTAACACGACATCCCTGCTGGGGCTGGGAGGGTTTTCCATGTCAGCTCCTGCAGGGAAGGGATGCCATGGCTGCAGGAGATCCTGCGCGCTGCTCACATATCGAGGGACTTCACCAGGTTGTGCCTGCAGGGCAGGTTAGATTTGGCAGCGCGGTCACAGAGCGGGAACAGAGGGTGGAAATGAGCATTCGGGGCCCAGGTTAGTGATGCTGATAGATGAGAAGAAAAGCTTCCAGGAACACGTTTCCTTTCCAGCAGTATTGCTGCAGTAATGATAACAGCACAGCCTGCCTCGGCGCTGGGGCAGTCATGAATGAGTTGGCTTTTTTTTTTTTTTGTGACTAATGTAGACTTTCAGCTATTTGAAATTGTCCTGAGATGCAGCTTGACATATAAGTTCTCGACCTATTTATTACTTTGTGTCTGAGTGTTCCCATAGGTATATGGTTTTAAACCAGGGCTGCGTTTAATATCAGGAGCTGGAGCATTTGTATTTTAGCTCTAGATCAACAAGGAGGCGATTTGGGCTGTGTGTCCGGTGTGTTTGGCAAATTCTAGCCAAGGGATCTGTTCCTCAGCAAGGATGTTTGAGGTAAAGGAAGTGTTAAACACCCCCTTTTTTTTCTTTTTTTATTACTTTTTCTTTTCAGTGCTGCTGTTTTCCCCTTTGCTATCGTGTCACCATTGGTGAGTCATCACAAGCTCCCACGAGTACCAGTGCAAGTCCCCAAGGATTACACTACCACGCTGAGATAACATCAGACCAATTTGGGTCCCCATCTACCATCGCACTGGGTTGGAGAAACTTGAGCTGCAAGGGCTTGGCCAGCTGTGCCTGGAGACTTTAACCCTGAGAAACAAAGAATTGAATACCCACATGGATTTATCTGTTTATTTGCCAGCGTATATATCTGTGAAGCCTTTGGTCGCTGTAGTTTCTTGGGGCTCTGAAACACAGCTGATCGAGTATTGACCCTGCCCCTGAGCCATCCCCTCTCCTGGCTCCCATAGTGTTGGGTGGGTGGTGGGTCACCTCATGGCAAACCCTACAGCTTGTGGCGCAGCATGTGCTGTGGCGTGGCAGCTCCTCATCTGTTGTAGGAAGTTTTTGGCCAGCCATGAAGGTGTTTCACGGAAGTGGTGGGAGCAGTCAACAGCACGCATTGCACATTGGCTTCTGCTCATGGTGTAGCTGCCGTGAACCTGCGCTTCTGGCCGTAACCCACCATGGTGTTCAGGCATCTCAAGCCACGGGTGGTTACACGTGGGGATTTAGAAAAGTATCTGAGTGAGTTAAGTGCCAAACTACCCCTCAGAGGAATCCAGCACCCAGTGTGTGTAAGGTGTTTTGTGAACTGTGCCAGCCCACTGCCCCGTGGGGCACCTCGCGTTGCCGAAACGGCCCCGCGGCCATCTGCCAGCAGGACGCTGTCTTTTGATTTTAATGAAGCCTTTAAGCAGAAACATGCAGTTGCGGCCATGTGTTGGGGTTAAATGGGGAAAAGGGATCTGGTACTGCAGATTCTCCTCCTGTCTTTGCCACTGACTGATCCTAAACAGACTACACCACCGGTTTTTGTCTTCTGCCATATGTTTTCCAATAATGCCCGCCCACCCGCTGGGGAAGACGCAGTGCTGGGTGTCTGCAGGCATTGTTGGGAACCCTCTGTGAAATATGCTAGAAAAACATGAAAGGTATTAATTTAGGTCTAAGATTACAGGAAGTCTGTTTGTTAGGTTTTTTTGTATCTTTATTTTTAGATTGCCATTTTGAATTGCCAGGATCAGGCCCTTCCTCAGTTGCAATATTCAGATAATGAATCCTGATATCATCCTGATAATGAGGTTTTTTGAGCCGTTCCAATTATAGCGCTTCAAATCTCTGCATTTGAAATCTTAGCTTAAATCTTTTGATGAGATGTTAAATAAAAAGACAGGCCCTAAAAGGATATTTATCTGAGAAAACGGTCCAACTTTCCCTTCTGCATAAAGAGAATTGGTTTGGAGGACATGAAAGCGTTAAGGCTCAGTACATGCCACTTCTACATAAACCTCCTGAGGTGGTACTAAAGCTGCGATTAATGTGAAGTCCATGTCTGGGTTTACCTGCTCAATTTACAACGGGTGTATAAACCTTAAATACTCTGATAGTATTTTTCTTCTCCCTCCTGGGCTTTGAGTAAGCTATTACTATTTTCTCGCTACGCCATTAGTATCGGTATTCCTACACTTGCGGTACTGGGGCTTGTATTTCCAGGTGTAATTTTGGATATGCCTAACAAATGGAGCTGGGCTGCTTACTGTGTCCCTTTCCTCCTCTTCTTTCCCCAGCCAGAGGAGCTTACCAACGCCCTGGAGATCAGCAACATAGTCTTCACAAGCCTCTTTGCCCTGGAGATGCTGTTGAAAGTCCTCGTTTATGGTCCTTTTGGCTACATTAAGAATCCATACAACATCTTTGATGGGATCATCGTGGTGATTAGGTACAAACCTCGATTTTTCTTTATGCGTGTTTCCCCTCATTTGGCTGTTTAATTAAACAGAAAGTAATGGAGAGTGGGCATAAATACCTTCCTATGACACTTTATACTTCTCTGCTGTAAATTAATGCACTTAAACATGATTGCTAATATATATCTTGGGGTTATTTTATGGTCATTTTAGAGAGAGGCCCAATCAGAAAGCTATCAGTCCCAATGTCCTGGGAAAGTCTAGGATCCAAATGATACAACCAGTGCCTGATTAAGTAGCTGCTGGTTTTTTGGCATGTCCAAAGGCTGTAATTGCCCCTGCAGCTGCAGCCACTGATTTGCAGGTGTGTTTTTGACACTCTAGTGGGACTCTGCTCTTTGCAAGCCTGGACGGAGCCCAGCTCAGTGCGGGCATCAGCAGTGCATCTCTGCCCGCTTTCCATCCCTCTTCTCTCTGAATTTCACCCTCTCTTTGCTTCCTCTCCTCTGTGCCTTTGCGTTAGGCTTTGTCTTCTCATCCTGCAATGACCTTTTTTTCTCCCTCAGCGTGTGGGAGATAGTGGGCCAGCAAGGAGGGGGGCTCTCGGTCCTGCGGACCTTTCGGCTCATGCGGGTTTTGAAGCTAGTCCGCTTCATGCCAGCTCTCCAGCGCCAGCTCGTAGTCCTCATGAAGACCATGGACAACGTGGCCACGTTCTGCATGTTGCTGATGCTCTTCATCTTCATCTTTAGGTGAGCGCTTCTGATTCCCAGTCCTGAGGTTGCTCTGGGTTTTTTAGGTGGGATCCCACGGCAAGGTGAGGAGGTGTAAGAGTCCATACCAGGGCATGGCTGAGCTGAACAGTCCCAGAAACAGCATTGCTGGCCAGAACTGGCGATGGCTTGCTGCCCTGACCTAATTCTCTTAACTCTGGCCAAACGAGACATCTGTCTTTGCAAGATGATTTACAAGGAAAATCTTTCAGCTGGATGATTCCTTGACATCACCCCAAGACAGCGGTCCCATTACTTACTGACTAGCAGAAAGCCTGGTGCTAAAAATATTGCCAAGGAGAGGGCGATGTTCCTAAAATAAAGTCAGCCAAGGTGGTGCTTGTGCTCTTGCATGGCCTCTTCTTCTGAGAAGTGAGGTTCTGCAGTGGAAACACTAGAAGTAGGCTTGGCGTAGCCCTGAATTTCTGGATTTTGGTCTGGATTTTGAGAAGAGCCTGTCTCCTTGTAACAGCCAACTCTGGTGTTCCAGCAATCCAGGCACTGGGAAGGCTGAGGAAAGCCGGTCTCTTCCATGGAACGATGTCTCTTCTCCCAGTGAGACGTTTCACCCCAAAGCCACCGTTTGCAGCTGTGGTGCTCAGCAGTGCTGTAAATAATTTGGTTAGTCAGGTTACTGGCCGAGAGCAGGGGAAAACATATTATTCTTTTAGTATCACTCTGAAATGAAAGGTATTCTGTTTTCCTGTCAAAATTGAAAAAGCTGTTTTGAGTCCCCTGATATGTCTCATTCAGGCATTTCACGGAAACCCTTTCTGTCTTCCTAATTCAATTTAAGCGTATTTTGCTAAAAATGTGTCATTGCAAAACAGAAAGTCAAAACATTTTGTTTAGAAAATGTTGAAACAAAATGTTTTGACTTAAAAAAAACAAAGCAGAAGAAAAAGAAGGAGTGGGCATACTTTTTGGTTGAAACTGTTTGACAGATTTGACCCAAATTCACAACTGGTTTGCATGATCTCGAGGCGTGTTTTTCAGTGAACGAATGATTCATCTTTTTTAAAAAAAAAAAAAAAAGAATTGCTCAGGTGAAACCAGGACACAGTCAGCCCTGCTGTATGACTATTAGTTTTTAATAGGAGACCAATGTCATCTCCTGTTGAGCCCCTGCTTTCCCTCCTGTGCAGCATCCTGGGGATGCACCTCTTTGGCTGTAAGTTTGCTTCGGAGCGAGACGGTGACACGCTGCCCGACAGGAAGAACTTCGACTCCTTGCTCTGGGCCATCGTCACCGTTTTCCAGGTACAAAATGGAAAATGCCACAACTCGTGCATTTTGGGGCTGCAGGGGCTGGGGTTGTTTTCCAAAGCATCTGACAGAGGTTAGCGAAGCTCCTTGCCGTGGAAGGGAGAGGACCCAAAACCACACAAGGGGTTTTCAGACCATTTTCCAGAATAAATCAGAAAGCTAATGAGGAGGCGCTGCCGAGGTAGGAGGCTCTTGCATTTGCAGGGTATGGGCTGGGTGGGTGAAAGTAAGCGTAGAGGGTGGAGATGGAGAGGAGGAGATCAGGACCATTTGCAGTGATATCTCAACGAAGAACAGAATCCGTTTTAAGCCCATAATTGATATATGCAGTTTTTTGTTCTAGCAGCTCTGACCTCTGTAACTGCTGGATCTATGAAGGACTTTTAGCTGTTCTGGCCAACCAAAGGAAAGGTCCGACCCATGCGACATTGCACTCCCTTATGGCTGAACGTGTCTCTTGGTGCGGGTGGGAGTCAGGGCAGTTTGGGCAGGGTCCTTACCGATAGCATGGGAGTCACAGTCGCTTTGGTCCTGTCTCTTCTCTGGCTCAGAAGATGGCTTGGGCCAGATTTATCCTCCTGTGGTTATAGCTACGGTGGATACCCCAGAAGTGGGATGCTCATTGGGTCCATGCAGAGCACAGATACCCGGCCAGGCTCGGGGAAAATGGCACACAATCCTCCAGTATCTTAATTTTCCTGATACCCTTCCTCTGCAGATTTTGACCCAGGAAGACTGGAACAAGGTCCTTTACAATGGCATGGCATCAACCTCCTCCTGGGCTGCTCTCTACTTCATTGCTCTCATGACGTTTGGGAATTATGTTCTCTTTAACCTGCTGGTGGCCATCCTGGTAGAGGGTTTCCAGACGGAGGTAATGTCCTCACACTTGTGCCTTTGGTTTCTTCTAAAATTTCAGGGCCTCCAGATCCTGGAATTTGATTTCTGAGATGGACAGCAATACCTTTACAAGAGTGGTACATGAAAAAAGTGGGGGAAAACATTAGGTCGTCTTTCTTTTTTTTGTTTTTTTCCTCCTTTCTTTCTTTTTCTTCGCCACAGTGCAATTTAATACAGCAAGCCCTCTAAATGAAGGGCTTAAATGAAAAGCATTGTTAGCATTAATGCAGGAGTGGGAATTCAGCGGTGAGTCAGGCACTGCAGATGGGATCACTGCTATGACAGTGTCTTTGAAACAGTTCGCACCGTGTTTGTTAGCCAGATTAAAAGCCCCTCCTGAAAACTTACTCAGGCTGGTAAGAGATTAGTGACACGATTATCTTTCTGGATGGTATGTGTTCATGGAGCTCTTCCTGCATCCAGCCCTGCAATGCTCTGCACGTTTTAAAGTACGTGATTTCTGGTCTCTGCTGGCTGCTTCTTCGGGCTGAGAACCTCCATGAAACATCCCGGATTGCTGGAGGTCTTCATGGAAGGGCAGAGGGGCAGTTAGATTTGAACTCAACCTTTTTTTTCATCCTACTGCCTTCCCAACTCTCCAGCTCGGAGCGAGGAGCATGTCACCTAGTCCCCAGAGTGGGAGGCCTGCAATGCCCACCCACTCTCTGCAAAAATTGTCCAACTGTCCAAGAACATCAGTAAGGGGAGGAGACCTCTACACCCTGCCCAGGGGGTTGGAGAGGTAAATATAACCCCAAACTGCTCACTGGGATCTGTTTTTATAGGCTGTGCTTTTACACGCTCTCTCTGATTTTTATAAGCATTCTGGGGTGACTAAATATTATTTAAGATTTGTTGCTTGTGTATCATGATATCCTACCACCCTATGAATAGCTATACACAGAACCATTTTTATTATTATTATTTTTGGAGCACAGTTCAGAGTTAAATTAATGGAGTCGTACCAGGAGATAGCAAGAAGAAATGTTTTTTATTTTTTTGTATCGTGTCTCTCCATGTTGGTGCTTTTCTTTTTTAATTGTTATTGTTGTAGCTGTTTCTGTCTGTAAATCCCCCCCACCATTCAGCCGAAGGGAAGGTCACTGCCAGGTTCTGCCCAATAGCACAACGTTCCCTTGCCCGAGCGAGAAGAGGTAAAAAGCTCCTTGTCTGCTTGTGATGACAGCTTCGAAACCGAACCTTTGTCTGTTCAGTCTAGCAAATTGATTCTCTGAAGGTCACCGAAGTGGGAGACTACCTGCTGCACCCGCTTCTTAGAGAAAAGCGTGCAGCCTTTAAATGCAGCAGCCCCTTTTCCAACCCCTGGTCCTAGAGGGAGGCTGACACCTCTGGTCCTTGGCTCAGCCCGGTTTTTCATGCTAGAGCATCCCCGTGCTCGCCCGCTGGCATGCTCCCGCTCCCGCACACCCAGCCGCCGTGCGCCTGTTTCCTTGGGCAGCAATTTATCCCACGCTCGCTTTGTGGCCAGCTGGTACCATGGCGTAACTCCGAGTAAATTCATGCCCTGGCTTAATGCGCTGTGATTTTATTCCAATAACCATATCCTTGAGGGTATGTCTTCCCTGGAGTCAGGGGAACTGCCTGCAGCACCCCCCAAATTTGCTTTTAGCTGGTTTTTGCAGTAGGGCTGCCCCGTCACCTGCCCCTGCTTCTCCTTTGCCGGGGCAGCACCGGGCTGGTCCGAGCCAGCTCCAGGATTGCCATGTAAGCTGCAAATGTGCTTTAAGTGCAGCGTAAATCAGGGAGTAACTTCTGATTCAGGAAAGCACTGAGACAGCCTGAAGCCGGTCATGCTCACACTGGTATTGAGAGGCGAGTGCTGGGACCAAGGTCCAGCGCAAAGATCAAACCCTTTCTGGCCAATTCTGCCCAACCATGGCAATTTCAATGAACTCACACCAGATTTCTATAATTTGTGACTCTGATTTTATACCTTGGGCTTTGCTGGGTGGCATTTTTAATAATAATCTTCCTTCCACGTCCTTATTCTGAGTTCTCCACGCTCCTCCAGTAAATTGCAATGGGATCAAGAGATCCCTCGGCTCAACCCGAGTTTCTCGCAGCAGACAGGGAGCAAATGTCTGCTGGAGGTTGGGAGCCAGGTCTGGCCTTGCTGGTTTATGTTTATTCAGCTTTGCTGGTGTGTAGCTTTGCAAACAGATCTCATTCTGGTTTTTGCTAGCCAGCACACAAAGGATCCTCTCTTAAGCAGAATTAATAGAGATCATCTCTCGCTGTAAACAAATCTCAGCATCTCCCTCCTGTGATTGCACTTGACCCTTCTTCTGAGTTGGTTGGTGTTTTTTTTTTTCCATTCTCCTTCAGATTTCTGGGCTGAAACACAATCCCAAGGCTGCTGACTTTATCTCCCTGGTCCTTGAGTGCCTTTCCTCAATCTGCAAGCACCTCGTTAATTTTAGTGCATGGCTTTGCAGCCCCAGTTGCTAGGCAGCAGATGTATATAAGCAGTTGAGAAACAAAAAGGACCTGTTCCAAACTTTAAATATGGAGCAATATATTTTGCAGGGTTGAGTTTCTCCCCCCCGCCCCGTTTCTTTTTATTTGGTAACTGCTTCTCTCTTGCAAGAGGCACACGCAGGACTTTATGCAACGTGGTTATTTTTGACCGTGCATTCTCCGATTTAACTCGAGCCTGGTGTCGGTGCGAGGAAGGTGAGCAGGGGACTCCGTTTGATCAAGCTGCTGATTTGAAATTGCTGCCTGACCTCTCAGGTCCCTGCCCTGGGGACTTCTCTCTGAAGCAAGCAATGACTCCTCTTTGTCAGACATAAAGCTCCTCTCCCAAGGGACTTCCTAATAATATTATCTCCAAAGCGTATTCTTCCATTGGTAATCCTCCTGGTTTCGTGTCCCCGGCTGTCCTCACTCGTGGGTTTGTTCCTTCCCCTCCTTTGTGCCCCCCTTCCTTCCCAGGACCCTCCTCCAGCACCTCCATCCTTTCCTCTGCAGGAGAACATTACCTGCTTTCTGGATGTACCATCCTCAGAGAAATATGGACTTTGATGACTTCTGGGCTTCAGCCAGAAGGAACAGCCCCTTCTCCTGCAATAGGGATTTTGGATGGTGTTTTTCTTGCATCCCTTACCTTTTGCATTCCTATCGGTTTCAGTGGGATTTTGCTCGTGAAGGAAAAGTGTTTCTGTGTTTTCCTTCAATGGCTTTTCCATGTCTCTCTCTGTTACAACCCAAGACTTCAAATTAAGTGTCCATTACATGCCTAGCAAGACACTGTTGGCCCATCCAGATCCCAAAGCTGATCAGTCTTTCTTAGACTCTTCATCCCAGCCTGGAGTGGGATGAGTTTTGCATCCCACGTAGCAACTGGAGGAAAGATCCATTGCCCTGTAGGCAAGAAATTAAGCTGGTGGGACAACCTGTGCCCTCCTGCCGCAGTCTGTAACCTCCCGCAGCCCTGCAGGACAGGACCAGGCATGGCCACGCTGCTGAAATGTGCTGAGGAGCATTGGAAGAGCCGCCCCTGAGGCAGGGGAAACACAACGAGGTGAAAAATGACGTGTGCTTTCCAAGTGGGTAGGAAAAGACCGACTTCTGGTGCTGTGAAGAGATGCTGGAGCCACTCGTCTGGCAAAGCCCCCCCAGGATGGGGCTGCTGCCCGCAGACCCCTGCCGCATTTGGGGACCCTGCTGATTTAAAGGGGTGTCTCCACTAACAGGGGTGAGGATGGATCTGGTGGCTTTTCTTAAATTAGGTATTTCACCTGGCTGTAAGAGGACTTGTATTGTGTTAATCAAACATTCATTAAAAGCCTCCATTGCTGCTTAATGAAGGCATAATAAATAAAGATCCTATTATGCAGCTGCAAAAAAAAGCCCCAATAATAATCATGTTTTCAATAATTAGCTGGTGTTTCATTAGCACAATTATCACTTAGGAGCTGAAGCAAGCTCTGTTCGGAACACTTAATTTAAAGATAAGGCTGGTCCCTTTGAAGGGCTTCACTCCATCTGAGATCTTCCACCCCTTCCCTGTGCCGAGTGGAGTGGGTGCCCCAGCCCAGCTCTCCATCGCAGCCGCCTGCTGCCCTTCTCCCCCTCCCCTCTCCTTCCCTGCCTTTTCTCATGTGTTTTTTGATTCCCCTCTCAGTCCCGCTGTTGAAACTGTGAAAATTGAATCCCCCCTTCCCCTTCCTCCCCCCTCCCTCCCCCCGTTTCTCCTTCAGGAGATCTCCAAGCGAGAAGACGCGAGTGGGCAGTTAAGGTGTATTCAGCTGCCTGTCGACTCGTCGGGGGAATGTACACAGACCATCCCACCGCCCGCCGTGGTTGTCTCTCTCGTGGTGCCTGGTCACACGCCGTGGTGCTGTTCTCATTGTAGTAGCTGTCATTCTTTTGGGGGTTGTTTGGGTGTTTTGGGGTTTGTTACTGTTCTTTCCTTTCTTTTTTGTCGTCCTCATTGTTGAGTCAGCCTTGATTTTAAGTCCCTTCCTTCTCTGGGGGCGCCAGGTAAATTAAGGTGGGTGCTTCGGGGCGGCTGATGTGGCTCCGGCCCTGGCTCTCACCGACCCCTTTCTGGACGCCTGGCCCGGGGCAGGCTCCCCGCAGGGCTGTCACAGCCCCTCCACAGCATGGTCACATCCCGGGACCTCCCTAGGGATGCGGATGGTGATGCTGATTGCTGGGCACGCCTGTCAAGCGCTCCCTCCATTACGCAGGCAAAGGAGGGTGCCCGGGAGCGAAGGGACCTGGAATCAAGCCTGTTTGTGGACACGTGTGGGGGGAGCCCCGTGCTCGACAGGATGGGGTAGGATGGCAGCAGCTGCGCTGTGGTGTGTCCCAGAAAGGCTGGCCGGGATGCTGGGATCTCCGGCGAGATGCTGCGTTACAGTGCGGGTCAGGATGTGAAATGGTCCCATTCAGGTCTGAGGAAGCCATGGATCTCTGAAGTGCAGCACACTCCAGACTTTACTCTTCTGCCAACCTCATCTTTCTCTTTACCACTCCCTTCCCTTTCTGTCCTTTCTGAGAAGTCCGGCTTTTCCTTCAGCACAAAAGCCCTTTCCCATCGTATCCCAGTGTGTCATTCCCCTTTGGTAGTACAGTCTGGTCCATCTTGACGTACTCTCGTTTCCCAAAAGGATTTTAATTCCCTGTTCTCTCATAACCCCTTTTCTATCCAGAAAGGCAAACTGGGAGTGCAAGAACAGGTAACGGGCAGCAGCCCCAGCTACGAGATGTTTGCCTGCACCGTACTGAGTCTGGCACGTGGTGTTTCAGAGGGGATGCTTTCTGCCCTCCAGACGTGGGGTTTGGTGCTGGGGAGGGGGGTGGGAAGTCCCCACGTAGCTCTGCTTTTCCATCTTGGCACACATCTCATTGTGCACCCTAAAACTTTCCTTTGGGCTGTTAAAGAGCACTCCAGGAATAAAAATCACATAAAATTCTTCCCGTTATTTATTCCTTTTTAATAATCCATTAGGGAGAATGAGTAATTCCTGGCAGGCCCACTGACAGGCTGAGCCGGGAGCCTCTGCAGGGAGCGTACCTGGAGCCAGCTGGAGCCCCTGTTCATACGGAGACATGGGTTTGACTCCAGCAAAGTTCAGGCCAGCCTGACTTTACTGCTCCCCCTTGCAAGGTGCATTCCTGACCTTCCCAATCTGCGTCCTACAGGATGAGATTCCCTGAATAGCACAGAAATCCTGGATCCTCAGGAAGAGAAGTTTTGAGCCAACACATCACATCACATGCTCTTTCGCCTTAAAAACATGTGTCTGAGAGTGACCAGTCTGCCTGGAAAAAATCCCCTTAACTGTTTAGTGACCCCATGGGGGAGTATTAGGGCTCGTCCCTCTGGGGTTTTGCTTAACAAAGAGGCACAGGGCACTTGACCTTTTGTCAGATGCCATTTCCTCCATCCCATGCTGGGGCCCGTCTGTGTTTTTACAACTAACAGGTACCCGAGCACCAAACCTCCGCAGTGCTGACCAGGGCTCCTGGGGATGCAGCTTAGCCTCGGTGGAGTTTTCTGGGGCTCCTGGTCTCTCCCAGCTGAAGTGAGGGTCTGCTTGGCTTCTTTCATCCCAGCATTCTCCCTCCCTTCCCATCTCTCCTCCCTCCTGATGTACATCGCGACGAGGCTTGGTGCCCTTTGCCAGAGCAGTGGTTTCAGCCATGAATCCTCCTCTTTTGGATGGGCATCATTCTGGCGAGCGCCATTGCCTGTCGGGTGTATCTTGACTATACCACACCCTAAGCGCCTTTCTGCAGTGTCAATGGACAATATCAGTGGGTGCACAGGGATGTCCTTAATCGGGTCCGTGCTGCAAGACCGAGCAAGAGCCCAGGCACCACGCTGTGAGCAATGGTAAACCTCTTCTCTCTCCTCCCCAGGATGGGCCCATGTCAAAGCAGGCAGCTCTCACTCAACCCCTGGCATTTGAACTGATACAGCGGAATTTAACTCCCCAAAATGATACAGCGTAAATCCCCAAAACTTCTGCTTCTGTTGTGTGTTGCAGCTGGGAGGGGAATGGCCACCCAGGGCACTTGTTATCAGGTTCTGCCACCTGGATCCTCTCTGCGCTGGTGGGGCGTCCATCAACACGTGCCCATTAGCTGCGTTGGAAAGTCAGGTTCCCTTGTGCCCCTTCTGAATCCTGGATTGCTTCATTGAAGCATCACTAGAAAGAGACACAGACAGGGAGTTTTAAACCATAGTGTATAAATTAAGACAGATGAGTAGGGTCAATTTTTGTCCCAAAATTGCTCATCAGATATCTGTCCTTCCCTAATATCTGCCCAGTATGCAATTCCAGTGGCAAAAATTAAGTAATGGTTTGGGTTTTTCTGATCCCTTTCTGGGACCGCATTTGGAGCCAGAGGCAGTCTGTCTTCCTGGTAGGAGGTTAATTAGTCTGTGGTATAAATATGTGCATGCGTCATTTTGTGAAAGGTGATGTTGCATCGTGGTACAAAATTCAGTGGATCCGTAGGTGTGGTGTTGGAGATGGGAATCCATTTTTTCAGAGGGGTGTCCGTGCACCGCAGCCCTTCACCCATCTTGCTGAAGCCCTCTGTTTTGCTCCAGGGTGATGCTTCCAAGTCTGATTCCGAGGGGGATCTCTTCCCCCGCAGCCTGGAAGAGGAAGGAGGACTTAAGAAAAACTTGTCAAATCCAGCCTGTGAGTAACAACCCCGGGAGAATGGGCTTTTCCACAGAAACTTCACTTTGTTGTGAAAACAATGTGTCCAATGTGTCCTCCTAGAGAGTGCGGCGTGCTCCAGGCTGTCGCATGCTCGACCGAGGCCAGCAGGCTTGTGGTATGGGGTTGGATCGTGGAATGCAGACAGAGACATGATGGCATTCGGGCCGTAATCTCCCCATCGAGCCTGAGGTCTGGGCTTTTGGGGTGTCTCTGCAGGGGCACAAGTGGAGAAGCCATGGGGAAGGAGGATGGAGGGAACCTGGCATGGGCAGGACGTTCCCAGGGTTGGAGCTTGCAGGTGTTGGTTGGAAGGTTGAGGGGCAGCAGATGACAGTCTGCATCTGCTCTCTTCTCCCATTGGCACCTGATCCCATTGGTACCTGATCCCATTCCTGATTTACATCCCCCTGCTCCCCTGCCAGGCTGAAGGATGGGCTCTCAGCTCTCCAGAAGGGCTTTTTGGCCCCCATCCTCCTGATGCTTGGAGGAGAGCTGTCCCTGCACAGCTGCTTTGCCTGCCCAGGAGCAGGTTGTAGATGTGCCCCTCGAGGTGTGACACCTAAAACCCACTTGTGTCTTCCAGTGATGGCCCTGAGCGACCACCCAGAGCTGAAGAAGAGCCTGACCCCACCGCTCATCATACACACTGCTGCCACGCCGATGCCCATGCCCAAGAGCGCCATGTTCGGAGATGCAGCGCAGGGCTACGAGTCCCGCCGGGCCAGCGGCGTCTCCATGGACCCCGCCACCTATGAGCTCAAGTCCCCGGTACTTGCATCATCTCTTCCTGCCGATGCTCAGCAGGTGTCCATTGGGCTTGCAGGGCTGTCCGTCCATCCATCCGCCCCAGCTAGTGCAGCAGCAGCCTGGCACGGGGTGGGTGGCAAGGGGCTGATGCTCTCCCTGTCCCTGTCCTCCCCACAGCCCAGCACCCGCAGCTCCCCGCACAGCCCCTGGAGTGCCAGCAGCAGCTGGAACAGCCGCCGCTCCAGCTGGAACAGCATCGGCCGGGCCCCCAGCCTCAAACGTCGGGGTCAGAGCAGCGAGCGCAGATCCCTCCTCTCTGGAGAGGGGAAGGAAAGCTCGGAGGAAGGGGAGAGCTCAGATGAGGAGCACTCCAGCCGGGCCGGCAGCTTCAACGGCTCTTTGCCTCATCGCATGGAGTCACTGGAAACAAAAGGCTCCTTCGATCTCCAGGATACCTTGCAGGTGCCTTCCCTGTACCGGACCAGCAGCATGCACAGCAGCCGGACTTCCACCTCTGAGCACCAGGACTGCAATGGGAAGACTTCTCCGGGTCTGCTGCTGCACCAGCTCCACCTGGATGACCCCCGACAGGACTGCGATGACTGCGATGATGAAGGCAACATGGTAAGGAAATGCCAAACACTCATTTTGGGCTTTTTTCCTTGTCAAAGTGATGCACATACCTCTCTCAGGAGCGCATGGGTGGGTGCGAAGCAATGGCCTGCTGCAAGGGCTGAGTCTCACCAGAAGAGCACCAGAAGGTCTCTGGGCTGTGGATCCCACCAGAAATGGGGTTGGCATCATATTAAGTATTTCAGTGAAGTATCAGATGGTTCCTGATGGAGAGATCAGGGCAAAACTCCCCAGGTTCCACTAAAAGGTGCAGAGCGAAGTCTATCTCTTGGAAACATATGCTTTTCTGGTTTTCTTTTTTCTTTTTTTTTTTTTAAAAAAGTAACTTTCCCCGCTCTCCAACCATCATTCAGCTTTCTGCCCACATGCACAGCAGACAATTTCTGTTGACATCAAAAGGCAAGGAAAGGGCAGGGCTTGGCCTCCCATTCCCATGGTGGCTTTAGTCCCGTAGAGACAGTGGTAATTTCAAAGGCTTTGCATTAATTTCAATTTGAAGAGGCATTAGTCCAATAAGCAACTCTCTTTCACAGGCCTGAAAAGTGCCATTGAAGAAATGTTAGCTCAAAGGGCTGGAAGCGCAGGGATGGGACGAGGGTCCCTGGCTCTTTTTCCACGTGGATGTTTGTATCTTAAGGGAATAAAAGGAATTTAGCTGCTTTTACAAGGTTTTTTGCACGGCTGGGGCTTGAGTTGGCAGCAGGACGCCTGCGGGGACTGTCCCATTGGGATGTTCCCAGGACAGTTTTGGGGGGTTTTGGGGTGTTTTCTGCTCTTCCCAGGTTACCTCTTTGTTTCACTTTACCTTGTTCTTAGGCTTAAAAATGTGATGGTCTGATATGTCATCCCCAGGGAGTAACTCTGTTTCTGTTGGTGAAGCGGATAGGTTTTGGGTAGAGCCACGTGATGGTAACCGGGGCGGTACTGAAAACATGAAAGCTGCAGCTTGTGGACATGATTTTACTGTATTTCAATGAGTTTGTTGAATGAAAATGGAATTTGGAGCATGTGAAGAGATGCGAAAGGCAGAGGTGACTCCAGAGAAGGACCAGGAGGAGAAAGAAAGTTAGCACTGACAGAATGGAGTCACTCAGCTGTGAATCGCCTTTTAAAAAAGCCATTATCCCATTATTTCTCCAGCATGGATCCTCAGCCTGGGATTTTTACTGATTGTCTTAACCTGGTTTTTAACCTCCATAAAATAAATTGAATTTTTAAGAAAAGGAGCAGTAATTATTTTTGGAAAAAGCACTATCAAAAGTGATCAAGAGACCATGTTCTTTATTGCTAGCGAGGGATTTTTTTTTCATGGTCCAACATCATCTACTTTTTCCAGCTCACCTAGCCCAAACATCCCGCAGGTCCCTTTCTTTCCCCCTGCAAGATCAGAAGCCAGCAGCCCCTCTTGTGCTAGACATCGTGTGCTCCCGTCCCACCCAGCCCCGCAGCCCCAGCCAGTGCTGACGATAGGCTGTTGAATTAGATGCATGTTTTTAATCTTTATTACAGCAGCTGCTTTTAGCGTAAACCAAATGTCGTCTTCTGTGTGCCGAAGTCTGGCCACGTAGGGTTAGACCAAAGGTCCCTCAATCCTCTCCCACGGAGTGGTCAGAAGCAAATGCCTAG